GGAGGGATGATGGGTAGCTCAAACTCCAGCACAACTGCTAGGGCTTCTGTCTCAAAGCAGTCTGCCAAGGTATAGGAGGTTACTCAGCACTGGCTAAGGGAATGGGATTTAAAAAAAAATCTACCTGGAGTTACTCAGCCAAAGCAGCATATACTGCAACTAAAAGAAACATTTTCCAAAAAAAAAAAAAAAAATGAACAATGGCAAATATCAGACTCTGCACATGAACTTGATAACATCTCCTCTGGGAGAACACATTACTTACAAGACTAAAAGCAAAAGGGGGAGTAGTGAAGGTGAGAGATTCAACCCTTGAAGCTGTCACTCACACTTTCTGCACACTCCTCCATGTGACAACCTTAGTGTATTATGGCCAGTTTACTGAGCCAACACTCCTAGGCTTATGTTTCATGTAATATCAACAGAGAATATAACATGAATTGCACAAACCTTACTATAAAATGCAGATTCTGCCTCCAATTACATCCAGCTTCTATTCCCAACAGTAACTGGAGCTTGGGAGCTTCTCGTAAATTTCCTTAATTTAACAGTTTGAGGTCTTCATTGACCTGCTGAGGAATTGCTTCTGAACCTGAATATAGGCTTGCAGCTTCTCAAATGCCTAGGCTTCACTTAGTATTTTCTTCATTATATTTGTACCATAGATATGCCCCTCTGAGATCACTGACTTCTTCTTTTATTGTCCCTTTAATTGTCTTTTATCACAGAACAAAGAAACAGCCAATAATGCAAAGGGCAGAGGCACTGGGTGAAGCAGACAGGCCAAACAAGGTTGCTCAATATTAGCAATACAGGGGAGTATTTCACAGGGACTGAGAGAAATTAGAGACGTGCAGGACCACATGCTTATAAATCATGGGGAAGCTTAGAAAAATTCAAAGCACTGCTTCATTGAGAAATACAGAATGTAAAATACAGCTATTTCATGACTGAGAAGCTCTGAAAGCTGTAAGGATGGAGAGAAACCCAGAGGTGATAGCACACAGAAAATTAGATACTGGTTTGCAGCACAGTATTATGTCATTGTTTAGGAGGGGAAAAAAAGCCATTTTTTAAATGAGAAGAAGAGTCCTCAGACACCAGGGTTGGGGCAGCACTCTGGCTGGCTGCTTCATTACCTGCGGAGTTACTCAGAGAAAAACTGGAGAGTGTCCAGAGAGGAGCAGTGCAAACAGAGATTGGCAAACAGGAAGACAAGAGGAAACCGCACAGGTGAAAATGAGCAGAGGATGATATTAGGAAACTCCTGTCAACAGAGAGGGTATATGTAGCCTTCAATGATGCTATCTAAATTAACACCACATAAGTGTAATTAAGGAATTCATGATGTGAGCTGAAATCCTGGTAGCCCTGGACCATAAATATTTCACTGAGGTGCAGGTAAGTAGCAGCCCTTGCAGGTCCTGCTCCCTTTGTCTGTGATGCTCTTGCCCTTAAACTTGTCATGACCAGCTCCTTCAGTAATCCAGGTTCTAGCTCAGATACCACCTGCTCAGAGAGGATTTGACCTCTCTGGAAGATCATCTTCTCCTTCCACCTAGGGGAGCCACCCTTACCTTACTGGATCTCATGGAGTAATGTGAAATTATCTTCTTCCCCAGATTCTTTGTTAACTTAATGTCTCTAGATCTCTTGCAAGGCTGTTTGTCCCATAAGATAAAAAACCTTGTCTGTTATATTCATCACTAGATTCCCAATACTAATTATCTCAATGACTGTTCATGCAGAAAAAATAGTTAAAATATGCCAGAAGCTTTTCTGAGTGCATTAACTTATTTAGTTCACACAACAACCTAGATGTTTTATCTCTACTTTTTCAGAAGAAGAAACTTCAGGCTTAGGGGATGACTTCTCAAGAGTTTCATAGCTGAGGGCACTGAGGTTGGAAACTGTATCTACTAGGCTAACTTTAGTATCCATACTTTTTTTTTTTTTTTGGTAACAAGGATCAAACTAGGGACCTTGCGCTTGCGAGGCAGGTGCCGGGACCACTGAGCTAAATCCCCGGCCCCAGTATCCATACTTTTAATCAACACACTATTCTGCACTTCTGGGAATGTTCAGTAAATATTCATGGAATAAACGAAGAATTAATTCATAATCAATGAGGCTCATCCTCAGTGAATGAGGATTTGAGTCCAGAATACCTGCAATCATAAGCAACAAGAAATGTATTGAAGTTTTGCTAGCTCTGTTCAGGACAATTCCTGAGCACCAGCCTTCAGGAATCATCCAGCTGTCAAGACCCAGCTGCAGAAGGGATCCCATGCTGACTACCTGTGTGATGCTGAAGAGGGTCTCCATGCCCTGGGCGGCCAGGAAGGCCTCCCTGCCAGACCAGATGGTGGTGATGCACTTGAGGCACAGCAGGAGCCCCCGGCGGATCAGCACATAGGTGTTGGTTGTGTCATGGGTGTGCCAGTTCTGATGCAGCCTGAGCAAGCTGGTGACATAGCCTCTGTTCACTGCCCTCCGGCTGTTCGACCCTGAAGACAAAGAGAACAAGCCATGTCAATCACAGGCTCCCCAGGGCACACCTGTCTCAGAGTGTCTCCTACAAAGTATTTGTAAATTATAAAGAGAATAGTAAGTAACTGTCCAGTATATAATACTAGCAGATGTCATCTTAACAAATGGATCGAAGTCAGCATCACTAGTAATGGGACAGTTGCAATGTGTCCCCAAAAAGATATACTGAGAAAGACATAGCATCATTTCCATGGTATTCTTGCCAAAAATGCATAACCTGAATAAAATTATAAGGCAAATCAGCAAACCTAAAGTGAGGGGTACGCTACAAAATATCTCACCTATATTCTTCACAAATGTCAAGGTCATAAAAGGCAAGGAAAAAAGACAGGAATTGGGGCTAAAGAGACTAAAAGACATAACACCTAAGTACAATATATAATTATAACTTAGTGCCATGCCAGAAAACAAATTTTCCTCTTGCTATAAAAGGCATTCGTGGGACAACTGCTAAAATTTGAATAAGGTCTGCAGATTAGCTTCTAATATTGTGTCAATGTTTATCTTCAGATTTTGATAAGCTATGGTTATGTAAAAAATGCCTTTGTTTTGAGAAAATTTGAAATAGGAGTATGTGAATATGTGTAAATTATTATCTGGGAAAAAAATAAGTGTTGGGGAAGGGGACAGAGACACAGACATAGAGAGATTACCCTTAGATTCCTACTCTTCTTCCCCGAATCTCAATAGATCTAGAGATCCACTGAGCAAACAAGGCTCAGGGAAGAAGATTGAGTGAGACACAACATCTGAAAGGCTGTTGTGTTCAGATGTGTTGCTGTCTGTGGAGTTCCTTGCAACACTCCGCAGGTTGATATCTGCTCTACTTGACACGGGAGGCTGAAGCCTCCTAACTCTGAGGAGTCCAAACATCTTGAAAACAGGATGTTTTGCCAGTTTGAGCACAGTTAGACCTTACTAGAAAAACAAGAAAGCACCGAAGAGGACAATCAGATAAAAGTGAATTATTCAGCCAAACTGTCACCATGCCTTGCCTGCCTGCCTTCCTACCTGAAACAAACATCTGCACTCAGCAAAACTCTATGCCTTTGTTATTCCTCAATATATCTGAGGGTTTGAATCAGTTCACTTCAATCCATCTGAGTGAAGAACCCCGGCTCCCCGACAAATACATTTTGTCACTAGGGTCTTTATTCCACTCTCTAACAGGGTTTGCTGACCTGAACCCAGCAGGTGTCACAATTTTGTTTAATATACTTTCTGCCTCAGCATTCATTTGCCTAACTTAAATTCCTTGAAATCCTTTGTACACCATGGCCTTTGGCCTTATGGAAACTTCTGCTCCCCAGGTGTTGTTGAGATATGACCTACTCACTCCTCGACCCACAGACCAAAGCCCAGCCCATTTCACAGCCACCAGCCAGGATGGAATCTAATGGCCAACGTCAGAGTCAGTAAATAAGTCCTCACTTCATGAATGTTAATTTAAACTAGCCAACCCACAACCACTATAGGGAAAACCCAAGGACCTGAACAAAGGCCTGGTCTCATGTGATCTCTTTCTCTCCATCTTTGGTTAAACCCCTGTTGGAATTTCATGAACTTTCATGGGCACCCTCTTCTCTCTAGAATCTGTGAGTATAAAGTACATCAGTTTGTGCTGCTCCCTCTGAGCCTCACCTGACACATCACCCTGGATAGCAGTCTCCTACAGAGTGGCTGTCCTGGCTTATGACCAAATAAGACCAAATTAGAAAAAAATCACAACAGAATGAATTGGCTCAGGCCAGGAAAGGAAGTCTCCACAGATCATGCTACTCAACAAGAGGATGGACTCCACTGAAAATATGTGGGGAGAGGTCAGGAGTCCACCCAGTGGGATCTCATACGGAACTTCTTTATATCTGATGAGAAGTCATAACCAAGAGCTTTCAGGGTCCCCTTGACATCTTGAACACCATGATCTCCCTGTGTCACACTAATATTCCTGGTGGAGGCCTCCCGTGAAACTCTATCTTAGGGATCTAATTTTTTAAAGATGTGGTTTAAATTATCTTTGAAGAAATACAGAGCAAGAACTGCCCAAGATACCTATTGCTCAGATTCACCTCCCTGAATGACTGGCCAGTTCAGACCTATCCAACAGGTCACCTGGACTCACACAAACTGAGTGCACTTTAGGGCTCCAACTGGCTAAGTTTGGACATAAATACCCAGATCTTTCAGCTCTGCTGTCTCAGTGCTCCATTTCTCCATTATCCAAACCATTCACATTTATGAGACAATTTGAGTTTCTGGTACCATGTGTGTGAGAGAGGAGCCCTGAGCTATAATCAGATAAGCAAAATTTCACCTCAAAGTCAGATTTGCTCTTAAGACTATGTAAGTGTACATGAGTGGAAAAAAAACACATAGAAATTCAATGTTTTATTCCAGAGGGATTTTCACATAATATTAATGAAATATTTTTTGCTTGTTTATAAAATTCTAAGTTGTCGAGCCTCACTGAGCTCCTCTGAAATTTCTGACCCATTGTGTAGCTGATTTTTATACACTATTTCTTCTTACAATATTCCATTCAGCCATGACCCTGAACTGAGAGTGATGAGCTTTATGCACTCAGTGATGTGTTTGTGGAAGGCTTAAATTGCCTTCATTACCTCCTTTAATGAATTATTCTTCTGTATCAAAAATATTTCTCTTCTTGGCTGGTCCCAGCTACAAAGCACTAGAATTCTTTACTGCCTAAATGATGTTCCAACCTATCCAATATCTGATGCTTAAAAGAAAATTGAGGATTAAGTAGGAGGCATTAAAGGAAAGTATCAGCTGCTGAAAAGGAGCCACAAAGGCAAATATGATGCCCAAGGGCCCTGTGGGAAGTGCAAGTTAAGGACTTTTGTCTTTTATCTATTTTAAGGATATGAGAATGACAATGTGTTATCCTAATGACCATCCATTACACTCTCTCTCTCTCTTTTTGGGGGGATGAGGAAAAGGGGGTAATGAAAAAATAATCTATAATTGTCTGAGAAAAAATCCCTTATCAAATCCCAATGATTTTATTCATGACTTTCCTGTTAATCCCCACCAAGCTGACATGTTTACTAACATCTGAAATTGCTAAACCCCCTTCCTCCCTGACCCCACATCAGTCAATCCTCCTCTGCAAACGGCTCGGGAAGTTGTGTAAAAGTCAATACAGATCTAACACCAGCCAAGAAGAGATGCATCAAACTGAGAAGGAGCAAATGTGGAGAATGAAATGAGGGTTGCTGTGATCGGCAACCTAGCGGAGTTCTGGAAGACTTGAGAAGAAAACACTGCTTCTCAGAGCAAGGGAAATATCAAGGTGAAAACGTGAGTTTTGGAATCCTGTTATGGGGGAGCTCAGAGTTTGCGGGGAGCTCCAGGTACCCTAGCCCTCTTCAGAACAGGCCCGCTCCTCAGTAATCACGCTATGTAAATGGCTTCTTCCTAAAACTTCTTGGGGAAATTTTTTTCCTAAGTAGATTGGTATTTTCTAACCTGTTTGAAAGCTGGAGTAGGATGGGTTCCCCGGGCCTCTAATTTTAACTATTCATCCCTAACACCTACCCCACCTCATAGCACTCTCCCTGCTTCCTGGGGACCCCTAAGCCTCACCTAGCACTCACTGCCAGCCTCCTCCGAAAGTCTTTGATCTGCTTTCCTCTGCAAATCCATGAATAACAGGGAATTTATTTTTTCTTCACCTCCAGTTCAGCCTTTCCTATATGTCTTCTCTCCCCAGGTTATGTCCTCTGAGGGCCTTATATGTAGCTAATTCCAAATCTGAAATGTGGTCTAGTGATAGCCTAATTTTAACCACAAGTATTTCTAACTGAAGTTCAAATTTTCTTCTTTCAAGCCTTCCCTGTGGATGCAGATTTTTATACTAGGTAAAAAGAAAAACAAATTTTTAAAATGACTGGAAGGGTATGTGCCAATATATCAATAGCACTTAATGGAGGAGGTGAGTATTGATTTTATCTGCTTGTTTAGATTTCTACAATTTTTATTTCCTGCATATTCTACAAGACACCTTCATAATCAAGCAGGAAGTAGGGGTGTGATCCTATGACTGCAGTTACAAATTAGTAGCCCATAGACTTGTGGCCCCTAGACTTTTGGCTGTGCCTTTTGTTAGTGTTTATGCACAAGGACTGGGTGATCAGCTCCACAGGTTACTATAGCAACTAACTCAATTTTTTTGTCTTCCCCCATCTCCTTCAAAAGCGAATTACCTGCCTACCCCCTGAAGGCACTGGAGAACAGAACTATCTTTATAGAGATACAGTATTTGTCTTCTAAATAGGAAAGCCAGAAACCCTTCAAAACTCAAAGGAGTGAATTTCTCCTGGGGAACTTGAGGCACAGTGACAGCTGGTGGGGAGAAATACTTGTTCTCACAGATTTTTATACCAGTGATTAGCCACTATGCCCATTTTATTTGGCAAAACTAAAGAAGTTGTCATCACTGCAATTCATTTCCCATAACTGGAAATTGCATCATTCCTTTTAGGGTGAAATGATGACCTTCAGCAGAGGAAATGTGGGACCCTGCAGCAGAGGAATGGATGGACACAAATAGCCCCACTTCAGGCACAAGGCATACAAATTAGAGTGGACCTCTACAGTGATCTTCACCAACAGCATGGACGCTGCCCTGCTCTGCTGGGCCTGATCCGTGGACAGACCCCTTAGCTTTCTGCCAGCTGCCTTTCTGAAATCTTGCCCAGGGCCAGGGGCTCTACTACACTCTACCTTGAACATGGTACTTCACACCCCTATTACTCAATCTTGTATCTGCAAATACAAAATTCACATCTTCTTCATGGGCCTCATGAGAGGATTAAATGAGATAATGCATAGAAAGCTCAGTGCCTAGTGCAAAATAAGCACTCAATACCTGTTGCCCATGAAAATTATCTTCCTTCAGATCAGCACCATCTGTTTATGATTCCAGTATCCTCTG